AAAGGAGGCCTGTGAGCTCATATATAATCTTTGCTTTGCCCACCTGTAACCAGAATAGCAAGATAAAGTGAAAACAGCTGGGAACACAGAGCATTTAATATGAAGTCTTTTTTGGGTTTCATTTTTGTTAAAAGTTGCAATCTTTACAATTTTTTGGTAGGCCTTACTGCGCAGCATTTGGCTTACTGTTTCTATAGTAAAGTGTTAGACTTTTATCATTTATTGTCATTAGCACCTGTGGTAGCAGCAGGTGCAACTGTACGGAAGGATTTGGACGGGGATTAGGATTATTGTACAGACAGACAACACCCACACGCACTGAAGTGGCGCCTCTTACACTATGAGGAGCACTCGTGTTTCATTATTGGATCATTTCAGCACATTAGTGTGTCATGAATGCTTAAATATGATTTGGAACATCATTACATCCATACAGTCCTATCTATATTTAGATCTTTTTACTATCATATCAACTTCTGCCAGGTTTAATTATGACAAAGGTACATTCATGCATACTGTACACACACACGCACACAAACTGAAGATACATTTGTAATTAATTGCTGACGTTGTCATTTATCCCTCTCCCCATTAAACAGACATGATTTATTGGCAGATCAGCTACCAAGGGAACTGAATTTTATCATCTTTTCATTTCACATTTCTCTGCGAGTGTGTGTGTGTGTTTGTGTGTGTGTGTGTGTTACTACAACAGCAGAGGGCAGATTAGAGGGGAGTTTTAAGGCTTTGATATATGACCAACATTATAAGGAAATGTACCAGATGGGTAATATTGTGTACAATTATGACAATTACAACTGAGAGTACTTTTTCATTGGACTTTTTCTTGCTTATGGACCAATTCATTTTAGAGAGAGGTTTTACGATCCGTTCTGCTGCTAAGAGATATCGCTCATCTGTGTTGTTTCTAAGGAATGAAAAAATTGTGTTAACTCCCCCACAGGATGATGAGGAGAAGGCTCCATTATATAAAATGACCAACAAAAAACTGCAATGGTGCCTTAAAATTCACACCGTACACACAATGCTGCCTGTGGGCATTGCATGTATGTTCATTTGTATACATATTGTAGCTTCAAAAAGCAGTTTCCATTATCAGCTTTACTCAAGAAAGCACCATTGTCTCCTGTTTAAATACTGTGCCCCGATTCACAGAGACAATATTGGTCTCAGTAGGCACCGCTAACAAATCTGACAAAAGGAGAGTCGGTACGCCTCACTCTTCATGTAGTTGGTAACACAGCAGATGATTGTTGATTAGGCGATTCTATGCAATTCTAATCCAATACATTATTTTTCAAATTCAGCAAATATCTCCTCACAGTCCGCAAGCTTTCCACTGTACACAACCATGGCTCTGTAAATGGGAAACAAACAAAGTGGTTTGGACCAAGCCACACAACACTAACTTGTTATTCCAGCCAGGATTTGTGTG